CATATGAGCAAAAGGGAATGCTAGAATAATCCCTGTGGTGCTAGACTGCAATTGGAGGTATCAGTATGAACTAATTTGTTTCATGTATATACAGATAGTACATACAGAAATAAACATAGATGGGTGTATATATGTGGGTTAGTATACAAGCATACTTTTCCTAGCTCTGACCCCTGAAAGGCCTAGATGCAGTAACACCTCAGCAGCAATGAGCATATTTAGAACCCATATTTTGGTTTCTAAATACTATTCTCCAATAAGATGAACCTGGGCTCGTTGGAGAAGTGGGTGATTTCAAGGCCTGGGGCAGGTTAAGATACAAGATGAGCCTGGGGCTGGCCCCGTGGCTTAGTAGTTAAGTGTGCGCGCTCCCCTACTGGCGGCCCAGGTTTGGATCCTGGGCGGGCACCGATCCACTGCTTGTTGGGCCATGCTGAGGCCGTGTCCCACATACAGCAACTAGCAGGATGTGCAACTATGCCACAACTATCTACTGGGGCTTTGGGGAGAAAAAGGGGAAAAAAAAAAAGGAGGAGGACTGGCAATAGACGTTAGCTCAGGGCCCGTCTTCCTCAGCAAAAAGAGGAGGATTGGCATGGATGTTAGCTCAGGGCTGATCTTCCTCAAAAAAAAAAAACAAAAACATGAGCCTGGGGCATCTTGTAGAGCCAGAAAGTAAGGGACTGCTTAAAAAAAAAGAAAAAGAAGACAAGACATGTTGAAAGGACACAGAAGCAAACTTCAAAGGGCTCCCAGTGGCAAAAGCTGGAAAGATCTGAGTAACAAAATAAATAACAATAGTACTGATTCTAATCCAGAGAATAAAATAAATATCCATGAGTGTGTAGCAATATAAATAAGTGATTAAATAAAATAATTAAGTACGGGGAGGGACAACTCTTTCTTACAGACGAATTACAATTAATAAATGTAGAAGGAAGGAATAGAATAGAAAATCACCATTAGAACATCAGAGTAATAACTGCTGCAGGCAAGATCCACCAATAAATGCTAAAATTAGGGGCCAAAAATTTAAGGAGAAACAGGATATTTGTGTAACGTCTAAGTATTTCCCCCCAAATAATTATTTAACTAAGGGAAAAATAGTAACTTTACAGTGGAGAAATCTGGCAGACACCACCATAATCTATTGATCAAGGTTAATAACATCACCAGTAATGAGACATATTGACATCGTGTAACTCCTGATATCATGCACTGAGAAGGACACACCACCTCTCTGGTATTCTTCCCCAAAATCTGTAGGTTCAAACTTACTATCAGAAAACCAAATTGAATGACATTCTACAAAATACGTGACCAGTAGTTTTCCAAAGTGTGAAGGTAATGAAAGACAAGGAAAGACTGAGAAACTGTCAGAGACTGGAGGAAATATGACAAATATATGTAATGTGGGGCCCTGGAAAAATGACACTAGTGGAAAAATTGGCAAAACTCCAATAAAGTCTATAGTTGAGTAGTCAACTGATTCGTCAGTTGATTCTTTAGTTTTGATCATTATACCAAGGTTATATAAGATGTTAACATTAGGGGAAGGTGAATGAACACAAGACTCTCTACTACCTTTAGAACTTATGTGTACATCTAAAATTATTCCAAAATAAAAAGTTGTTTAAAAAAAAGCAAGCTTAAAAAAAAAAGAAAAACTGCTTTTATTCTTCTCTCTCAAATGTGTGTATCCCCTTCTTGATAGCAAATTCTGTGAACAAAATTGTTTCCCCCGCCCCCAAAATTTATTTGGTAGAAAATAAAATGACTGTGTATAAAGAACAGCTTTGAAAAAATATATCACAAAGTTTTTTAAAGAAAATCCTAGAGTAGTCAATTAAAGTAAGATGTTTTTACATTATCTCCTGTGAGAATAAACCTCGGAGGTTCATTTCCAAACTAGTTTATTTATTGCCCTAAAGGCTATCCAACGACATTGATCAAGGTCTAAAAACTTAAAGGTTGACAACTACAGGGTCCGGCCCAGTGGCATAGTGGTTAAGTTCGCACACTCTGCTTCTGGTGGCCCAGGGTTCACAGGTTTCAATCCCAGGTGCAGACCTACGCACCACTAATCTAGCCACACTGTGGCAGGCATCCCACATAAAGTAGAGGAAGGTGGGCACAGATGTTAGCCCAGGGCCAATCTTCCTCAGCAAAAAGGAGGACTGGCAACAGGTGTTAGCTCAGGGCTAATCTTCCTTACACACTCACACAAAAAGTTGACTGCTATAGACTGAATGTTTGTCAAAATTCATGTTGAAATCCTTACCCACAATATGATGGTATTTGAAGGTGGGGCATTAGGGAGGTGATTAGGGCTCTGCCCTCATGAATAGGATTAGTACCCTTATAAAAGAGGCCCCAGAGAGCTCCCTTGCCCCTTCTGCCATGTGAGGACACAGTGAAAAACAAGAAAGTGGGTCCTCACTCGACACCAAATCTGCTGGCACCTTGATCTTGAACTTCCCAGCCTCTAGAACTGTGAGAAATAAATTTCTATTGTATATAAGCTACCCAGTTTACGTTATTTTGTTATAGCAGCCCGAACATTGACATTGACATTGACATCCTAGTCACATTTTCAGTATGAACACCTTCAAAGACATGAACAGAAAAAATTCCGAAACAAGTTCATCCAAGCCCTTTCTTATCCAGCCATATATACTACTCTAAAAGACAAGTAGCATATTCAATTTAAAGAAGAAATTCTGCCTGTGTCTTCAACGCACACATATCTAATTTCAATGACACTGTCAAACTGGCAATGACTCAGTATTTGATTTTTAAAATGAAACATTTTATGTTGACTTAGAAAAAATCTAACTAATCTAAGTTTGTATGGAAGATCATATGGAAGAAAAATACCAAACTGTAAACTTTTCTATAGGTTTATATCTCCTTCTTTTACTTTTAAGTACCACACTGAAACATAAATCAGGGAAGATTAATCTTAAAAAGATGTCTTAAGATATGATTTTGATAGAGGCAAACAGCTTTAGAGGCATCTTCCTATATCATCCATTATTTAAAAGGGAATTCTTACTCATAAGTCTCAGTCTATGAATCAGATAGGTACTTTCCAAACCCAACTCAGTTTAGACTGCAACCAAACTTACTATGGTGGCCTCATTCACATATTAAAGCTATCAAGATTCCTATCAATTTTTCTGCAGCTTAATTTTACCCATCTTTCATAATTCAAAAGTGTAACACTCTAATTCTAAATCTATACTGATTTAAATATAAAATGTATGATAGTATAAAATGATGCAAAGTACATTCTTACAGATAAATTTCCAGATTTCCCCCTTTAAAAAGTTAATTTTAAAAAGTTAAATTTGCTTTATAAGAATACAAGACACCTCATACAAGTCTATTAAGAAACCAAATATATCTCAAGTTATGCATGACATAAAAGAGGCTGTTTTTCAAATCAAATAGTTCTTAAAAGAATGAAGATTTCAGAAACTTATTCTACTTTGTTAAAACTACCAAAAATTTTTTTTCCAGATTTTTGTTTCCAAAACAGAGAAATTCCTTTATTTGATATTGCTTGAAATTCTAATTTATATGTCATGTTTTTAAAATATGCTTTTTGGGCCGGTGCCGTGGCTTAGCGGTTAAGTGCTCACGCTCCACGGCTGGCAGCCTGGGTTTGGATCCGGGCGCCCACCGATGCACCACTTCTCCGGCCATGCTGAGGCCACGTCCCACATACAGCAACTAGAAGGATGTGCAGCTATGACATACAACTATCTACTGGGGCTTTGGGGGGAAAAAATAAATAAATAAAATCTTAAAAAAAATAAATAAATAAAATAAAATATGCTTTTTTCTTCAGCCTAAAAAGCATATTTTAAAAAAGTCTTTTTTATAGACTTTCTAGGCTCAAATTTTAATTTCTCCTTCTATCTTTTGTGTTTTAAACACTCATAATTTTAGGAATCACAATTAGGTATAAGTGATTCAGTATAAACTTCAGAGAGAAACATAATTCCAACTTTAACCACCAAATATAGTTTTATATCAGAATGGTTTCATTTAAAACTTCATATACTCTAAACCACTCATGTTACTAGAACAGATATTAAAAACACATAATCATTACTCTCAAAATATTCCTAGTTCTGTTTAAATTTACCAAGAAAGGCAAAATATAATACATTTGTGTGAATATTTTTTTAGAGAGTAACAAGCTTGACTTTTATCATATAAACTTTAATTTTTTTTTTAATCTAAGCAAAATAAAGAACTTCTACTTAGAAATAAGCACTTGGCATTTAACTGCTCACGGCACTGTCTTATATTTAAATTCAATTATTCCAGAAAATGAATACCTCTTCCTAAGAAATAATACAGACCCTTCACTTCAAGAAGTTTGGCTTGGGGTAGGAGCACACATACTTACATGCATATTCAAACCTCTAATTAATTTTCATACATGACAACATTTACTAACAACTAAAACCAGTCAGCTATCACTTTACATATTATAACTACGCAGCATAGTAAGGTACCCTGATTTAGTCCTCTAGGCCAAGGTCAGAAAGCTTTTCTTAAAGGGACAGATTTTAGGCTTGCAGGCCATACAGATACTGTTGCAACTAATGAACTTTGCCACTGTAGTGGTAAGGCAGCCATAGACAATATGTAATGAACGGGTGTGACTATATTCCAATAAAACTTTATTTACTAAAACAGGTGACCGGCCTGTGGGCCATAGTTTGTTGACTCCTGCACAAGGCAAATGGATCTGATTATCAATATACAACACCTTCAGTAAATATATAATCACATGTCCCCCTCATATCTGGAAGTTATTACATGGAACATTAGCTATTCAAATGGTAAAGGAACCATGAAAATATTTTCTGAGGTCAGAATCTTAGGTAGACTGAAAAATTAAAATGTGTTAATAAAGCACACATTAAAATTAAGCTTAAAAATTTATAGTAATGGTATAATTAAATTTTATTAAACAATCTTACCTTAATCAAAGGAAAGAATCTAAACTCTAGTACATTTCTGGTTTCAAACTCAAAATATATCTGATCAAAACTTCAGTTTCTTGTCAAACTCCTAGAGAAACAAAATTGAAAACGTTTAAGTCACGTTCTAGTACTGGATAAAATGAGGTAATCACACTCCAACCTGTCTCTCTGAGTGAATGTAGCGACAAGACCTGTTGACAAAAATGGACAACAGAACTGCTTTGAAACAATTGCTAAAGGCAATTCTTCCAACAGATGGTAGACGACACCATAAAGAAACTTTGAAACATCAAGAATTAAAGAAAAGCATCCTAATTGTTAAATATCTGAGTAAATATAATAAACTATTCTTATCCTCTTGAGTTCTTTAAAATATGTTTGATAGTTGAAAGCAAAAAGTATAAATGTTGTCTGATGGAGCTTTCAACGTATATATTGTAATACGTATGTAATACAATATAATCTATAACAACTACAGTATAAAGCAGTGGAATTAAAAGATTTGCATGGTAGCACAGTTTCTATGTGCCACTTGAAGTAGTAAAATATTGACTGTAAGCAGACTGTGAAAAGTTAAGTACATTGTAATCTCTAGAGCAACCACTAAAAAAAAGCTATATAAAGATACAGTTAAAAACACAATCAATAAATTATAATGGAATACCTAACAAAAAGACAAAAAAAAAATCCAAATAATCCAAAAGAAGACAGGAAAAGGAAAACAGAAACAAAAAACATAGGCAACAAATGGAAAAAAAAAATAAGAAAATGGTAGACATAAATATATCAATAATGATATTAAACATAAAAGATTTAAACACATCAACTAAAAGAAAGTCAAAAAAGAATAGTAGAAAGAAACATTCTTTAAATACAATGCTACAGGTAGTGAGGTCATTGCTGAAAGGGGCCAAGAGCCAAGGAAAGTGAACACCTTAAGAAGCTGGAAAGGACAAGGAAAGAAACCCACCCATGGAGCCTCCAGAAAGGAACGCAGTCTTGCTGACAACTGGAATTTAATCCAGTGAAACCAGCCTGAAACTTCTGACCTCCAGAACTGTAAGATAATAAGTTTGCACTATTTAAGCCACTGTTTGTGGTAATTTGTTACAGCAGCAATAGAAAACTAATAACACTGAATCATAAAACAAACCTTTACAAACTTAAAAGAACTGAAATCATACAAGGGATGTTACCTGACCATAATAAAATTATCAATAACAGAAAGATAACAAGACAATCTGCAAACACTAGGAAATTTTAAAACACACTGATAAGTAATGCATACTCAAAAGGGAAGTCTCAAGGGGAAACAGAAAATATTCTGAACTGAACAAAAATAAGACAATATATCAAAATGTGTGGGATGCAGCTAAAGCAGTACTCAGACACATTACAGCATCAAATGCTTATATTAGAAAAAAGAAAAGTCTAAAATTAGTAATCTAAGCTTTCATCTTAAGAGACTAGAAAAAGAAGAGCAAATTAAAAAGTAAAAGGAAGGAAATAAAGATAAGAGCAGAAATCAATGAAATTGAAAAGAACAGAATAATAAGGAAAATCAATAAAACCAAAACTGGCTCTTTGAAAAGATCAATACAAGCAAGCCTGAAAAGATAAAAAGGGAGAAGACACAAATTCTCAATATCAGTATAAATGAGCAGATGTCACAAAAGATCTTACAAACATTTCAAAAAAATACTGTGAACTCTATGCACATAAATTCAACAACTTAGATTAAATGAACCAGTTCTCTGAAACCACAAACTACCAACATTCACCCACAATGATATGGATAAGCTGCATAGTCCCAAATTAAATAAACTGAATTTGTAGTTAAAGACTCTCAAAAAAAGGAACTCTCTAGGCCCAGATGGTTTCACTAATGAAATCTACCAAACATTTAAAAAAGAAATAACTCCAGACTGACAAGACTGGCAAGTAAGAAATAAAACTGTCCCTATTTGCAAATGACATGACTGTCTACATAGAAAATTCCAAGGAACACAAACAAAAAAACCCCTCCTGGAACTAATAAGTGAGTCTTTCAAGGTCAAAAAATACAAAGTCAATATCAATTATATTTCTATATACTAAACAATGAACAATTTGGAACCCCAAAATTTAAAATAATGCCATTCAAAATAGCTCCATAAAAATGAAGACTTAGGTATAAATCTGATAAAACATGTACAGAGTCTACACGTTAAAAACTACAAAATCCTGATGAAATAAGTCAAAGAAGATGTAAGTAATATAAAGACATACTTTGTTCAGACTGGAAAACTCAAAATAGTAAAGATGTCAGTTCTCTCCCAAACTGGTCTATAGATTTAATGCAATTCCGATCAAAATCCCAGGATTCTTTGTAGTTATAGACAAGTTGATTCTAAAATTAATATGGAAAGGCAAAAGAACTAAAGTAGCCAGAACCACTAAACAAATTTAAAAAAAGAAGAAAGTTGGAGGAAGCACACTATCCAATTTTAAGGCTTTAAGCTATAGTTATCAAGACAGTACGATGTTGTCGAAGGGACAGACACACAGAACAGTGTCCACAGACAGCTCCAGACAAACATGGCCAATAGATTTTTGACAAAGGTGCAAAGACAACACAATGAGAAAAGGAGAGTCTTCTGGACAAATGGTGTTAGAACAACTGAGTATCCACATGCAAAGAAAAAAATGAACTTTGATCTAAACCTCTCACTTCATATAAAAATTAACTCAAAATGGATCATAAACTTAAACATAAAATATAAAACTTTTACAAAAAATAGGAGAAAATCTTTGTCAACTAGGGCTAAGCAAAGAGTTCTTAGATATGACATCAAAATATATACAACCCATTAAGTAAAATATGATAAACTGGACTTTATCGAAATTAAAACTTTTGTTCTAGAAAGATATCTAAGATAATATAAAGACAAGCTACAGACGGGAGATAATATTTGCAAATTACAAATCTAACAAAGGACCTGTATCCAGAATACATAAAGAACTCTCAAAACTCAGCAGCAAGAGAAGTATCCAATTTAAATACAAGCAAAAGCACATTGATTAGAATGGCTAAAATCCAAAAAGTCTGGCAATACAAAACGCTGCCAAAGACATAGAGCAATAAGAACTCGCATTCACTGCTAGTGGGGATGGAAAATGGCACAGCCACTTTGAAAACCAGTTTGGCAGTTTCTTACAAAGTTAAATTTACACTTATCATACAATCTAGCAATCGAACTCCCAGATACTTACTCGAGTGAACAGAAAATTCATATTCACACAAAAATCTGTATATGATTGTTTAAAAGAAGCTTTATTTATAATCAGCAAAAACTGGAAGGAACCAAGATGTCCTTCAACAGGTTGTTAAAAAAATGATTAAATAAAACAATTTTGGTGATACAAACAAACTTTATTCAACACTTCATGAAGTGGACAGTCTCCATTCAGAGAACTGCAAAATGGTGCAGAGAGCAGGAAGCTTTTATAGGATTAAGAATAAAGAACAAGGAAGAGAAAAACAGAAAATATCTGATTGGCTAGGGCCACACAGTCAACCTTATTTGGGGTGAGAAAGACCAGGGTTGCTTGGTGTTTGGGGATTCAGCTGACTGGATATACTGATTTCTGGTCTAGTGGAGTATTTATAGGGACACAATAAGTTTTGGTTTGGTGACAAGGCCCCCTGGGCAGGAGCAGCTCCATCTTGTGCCGAGAAAGTTATTTCAACAAGGTGAATGGATAAACCTACTGTGGTACACCCATACAACAGAATACTGTGCAGGAGTAACAAGGAACCAAGTACTTGATTCATGCAATAATATGGATAAATCTTAAATGCACTTTGCTAAGTGAAAGAAATCAGATCCAAACAGCTACAAATTATATGACTGCATTCATATGACACACTGTAAAAAGCAAAACTATATGAAAAGAGATTAGTAGTTGTGAGGGACTGGGGATGCAGGAATGGCTGACTACAAATGCACACATACGATATTGTGATTTATAAGAAATATATATATCTGGTCATTCAGATGACCAAAATATATTTCTCACATATATTTGGTCTTCGTCCACGGTTTCCCAGCTCACAGCTCCCAAAACCGTTGGAATTTCCTGAGCGATAAGAGCAGTGGGAGCATCCTTTGTCATAATATTTGGTCTCCTGTCCTCAGTTCCTGCAAAGGTTTCAGAGCCTTAAAAGTGCAATAAGTGGGTGTCTTGTTACTCACAACAAGCCCCTTTCTACCACAGCTGGGTTTATGTTAATGAGGTGACTTTTGGAAAGCACCTAAGGATGGGGGCTGGTTGCCAGGAGAACCAACCATGTGAATAGAGGGTTAGAACTTTCAGTCCCAGCCCCCTGACCTCTGAGGAGGGAAGAGTGGTGAGGGGCTGCAGGTTGAATCAATCGCCAATGGTCAAAGACTTAATCAATCACGCCTATGTAATAAAGTCTCCATAAAAAACCAACAGGAGGGGTTTCAGAGAGCTTCCAGGTTGGTGAACACATGGAGATTCGGGGAAGCTGGCATGCTCGGAGGGGGCATGGAAGCTCCACACCCTTTCCTCATGCCCTGCCCTATGCATCTCTTCCATCTGCCTATTCCTGAGTTATATCCTTTTATAATAAACCAGTAACCTAGTAAGTAAAATGTTTCCAAGGAGGGGTCATTGGAACCTCTGATCTACAGCTGGTGGGTCAGAAGCACAGATGATAACCTGGGCTTTCAAACGGTGTGTGAAGCAGGAGTAGGAGTGGGGTGTCTTACAGGACTGAGCCCTTAACCTGATGCTGTCTCTGGGTAGACAGTGTCAGAATTGAGTTGAATTGTAGGACACACAGATGGTGTCTGAGAATTGCTTATTACTGTGGGGAACCCGGGGAACTCTCCCCACCCCTCGCATACACACACTGTAACTGGGCCCAGAATCTTTTAACAGGAGAATTTTTAGAGTCATGAAATTGTCTATATGGTAGTGGATAATGACCCTGTGCATTTGTCAAAACCCACAGAACTGTACATCACAATGAATGAACTTCGTATGCAAATTTAAATGTATGCAAATTTAAAAAATCAACTA